CATGAAAATTGTCCATTAAAGTCATTTTTTTTTCACAATTGGTTATAAAATTTGTTTTCATTGGGAAAAGCAAAAAAAAAAAAAAAAGAAAAAAAATTGTTTCCTAAAAGATCATTTTTTTAATCAAAGTTTAGTGTTCGTTTGACTTTGTTTTACATGGAAATTGTCCATTAAAGTGAAATTTTTTTTTACAATTGGTTATGACATTTGTTTCCATTGTTAAAAAAAAAATTGAACGTGAACTGGAAAATGATTTCCCACCAATCCCCAAAATCAATGTGTATTGGCGCGTGAGCCAACTCCAAAGAAAACAAAAGCCCTAGAAAATTTGGCTTTTCAAATAAGTCAAAACCAAGGAAAATAAAAACATTTTCCAAGTTCCAAGGCAAATATGACTTATCAAACAGGGCCTAACATTGTTGAGCAACAAGTGGTTAAGAATTGGGTAAAATAGACACGTAGTTACCGAATTTTACCCTTATCTGCAATCGGGTTATTGGACTTTAATTTGTTGAGAGCAATTAGGCCATTTCGTTGACCTTCTATTCAACCGCTTAACAGAATTTGTAAAGTGACAATTAAAAGTAGCATCATCTCCATTAAGTATGTTGAGTCAACATTTCACCATCGATCCCTAAACATTTAATATGGATTAATCACAATACTGAACTTCAATTTCAATTTCAAAGTTCTAAAAAGCATTTGATAAATTTTAATATTATTTTTTATTTATTTAAAATATATTAAATAAATAAATAATGCATATCAAGTAACGAAAATAATAAAAACTTTAATTCTTAATAATTTCTACAACTAAAAAAATTTTAATTTTCGAAAATTAGTTCATTCAGTTCCAACTAGACACTTTCTAATTGATATAACAGGTCAAACCCCTAATAATAAATATATGGATATGCCAAAATTTCTCTCTCTCTCTCTCTCTCTCTCTCTCTCTCGTATATATAATCACTTGCTAAGGGCCTGTTTGGTATAGATTTTCATTTTCTACAGTAAATCAATTCTCATTTTCAACCACACATTCTTCAATAAAATAATATTTTCCATCACATCAATACTTTTTTCTTCTTTTTCAACCACACATTTCCCATCATATCACTATTCAAAAATCAATTCT